TTAGCTCTTTTAGTGTGGGAGCAAACCCATGCCTAAAAAATCATCGCCGAAGTCGCAACCACTATTTCGTATTATTAGATCTAAAACTAATACAAGAAATGCTAATATTCCAAAGCTAGCACTATTGAAGGCGTGATTACATGAGCAGCGAGCAGTGTGAAAGCAAGTGTAGGTTGGAGAAGTGCAGGTGAGAAAGGTGCATGTATGTAAGTATGTATGTGAGTGTTGGTATGTTTTAAGGAGGCTCCCACCTAAAGAAGTAAAAATAAAAGGTCCATGGACACCCTGTTTTTTATGCATAGAATGGTGGAGTGATGTCTCCTCTTCAACTTGGTATAGTTTTTAGGTAGGGTCACCAGGCATATACCGTAATGTCGCGTGCATTAGCCGGGGCTTATATGCCTATAAGCCGGTGATGGAGTCAGGCTTGTACACAAGACAGGCTTATACACGAGACAGGCTTATATGACAAGCACCACTCAATGACCAGGCTTGTATGCGCAAACTGCTGACTTTTGGACGTCAAAACCAACATTTTCCAACGGGATTTTTTTTCTTTTTTTTCGCTCCCTGAACCGCGTCCCCAACTTGCCAAGGGACAAGACGGAAAATGCCATGGGAAAGGTAAGTTTGAAGCTTGAAGAGTGCTGCATGGCCGTCGAGCGCAGCTGGTGTTGATTTCCGCATCTTCCCACGTTTTCCGCGTGTGCAAGTGTACGGTACCATGCAAACATGAACATGTAAAAGGCGCGCTCACCAGTCTTGCGTAGTAGCCCGGCTTACGCACGCGACACGTGGCGAGTCTCGTGTACTGGCCCGGCTTATGCATGCGACAGGCTTGTACGCGAAAAGCTGTTGCAGATTTCATGCTTCTACACGAGACAGGCTTATGCACAAATCCGGCTTATGCACGCGACATTACGGTAAGAGGTATTCTGGTGTATTTAGTGAGTGTACAATTTCTTGATTTTCGGCAAAATAATGGTAAAAAAATTTGGTTTTTGACCCAAAGAAGCCTCCTGGAGGGAGGATACTAAGCATTTTCTTCATCATATGTTTAACCCTTTAACCGTCATATAAATTTCACCCATTGAAACGCCGAACGAAATTTCAACTTTGCCAGGTCATAACTTTAGTTGTACTCACTCGATTTTTATAATCTTGGGCTCGTTGGAAAGCTCTGGACGAGACCAGCACGATGATACCACATTCTTCGCCTCAGCAGTCACACAACCAGCGCTGAAACGCAGCGACGTCGTCTCAACGCCAGGCATGCAAATGACAAGTTCAAGTCCGCCATGGCCGTCTCCTTCATCGTAGAGTGTTCAATTTTTTTTTGAGAGATCGAGCATTTCGTGAGGAATACGTTGGTCGCGAGCAACAGTCACAGAGCGCGTGAAGAAACGGGGAAATCCCGTGACGACGTCAGCCGCGCGCCCAGCGCAGCGGAAGTGACAAGCGTGCATGCAGTACTCAGCGCTTGATAACTCTGCTCCACTACATCGTAGCTCAACGCGGATTTCTGCAATGGAAAGCCTGGAAAATTCTCGACCGAATCGATAGTAAATTTTCTATCGTGGGTAAAAAATCATTCCAGTGCGAGTATTTCAAATGATGGGTCGAATTCGACCCACAAATGTATGGTCTGACGGTTAAAGGGTTAAGAACCGCATTTGGAGGTATCTTGGCTACACAAGATAGACTGTGTCTTGGTTTTGCCCTTGGCGAGCCACTTTTTCGAAATTACGGGTACCGAAATTTCCATCGGGTGCTGAATTGTGAAATGGTTCAGCCTGCAACATTTTGTCCATGGACATATCGATTTTTGTGGCTTTCTGTGATCCATGAGCCCCAAGGAAACCGATAATGGACAGTTTTGATGGTGTCACCAGGCACTTTAGGCCCCTACGAAACAATATAGGTATCAAAATATGGTATTTTTAGGCCAATTCTCAAAATAGCATTTTTAGAAAATCTGACCATTCTTGCCTTCTTGACTACATAGCACTACCAATGACATGGTAGTATGGTAATATTATGTTAGAAGAAGTTATTTTCATGCTGCAACCTCCTTTGGACATACCAGATAGTCGTCTGTGGTTGGAAAGGTACATGTATCATTACATGTACATCATGTAGCCATCAGTCCTAGCACATTGATATACGAGTAGTGTACATGTAAGGTAGCGAGGTTTCATTACAACCTCGACCATGAAACTGGCACATGAATAATGTGAAATCAGGCATTCAAAATCAGGCACACTAGACACCCACACGTGTGCGTGCCCACGCACATACATGTACATGTAAACACCCACCCACATGCACTCTCATGCACGCATCATTGTAACACTACTAGTCCATACTGGACCATAGGACTTAGTGTAAATATAAGCATGAAGACCAGCCACTGCACTGGGCATGCATTTGCTGGTTGTCACTTGCGTTGATAGCAGCAGACTGCAGAAAAACACACGCTATGTACAATGTACGTGAAGGGCAATATGCATCTACACACGCTGGCGTGCAGCACATATACCATGTACATGTAGTGTACTGTCATGATCTCTTGGCAATTCTTTTTTGTGTCTCAAATGCGGTTCACAAATGTGCATTCACATGCACCTCCTGTACTGTAAAGCCACTGCCACACTGTCCTTGCGGACACCAGAGAATAGAGCCAAACAGAACCAGCACCGTGAGCCCCCCCCCCCCTTCCACACCTAGCTTTGCACACGCGCGTGCATGCGCACACACGCACGTGCATACACACATACATGTGCGCAGACATTTGCATGCACACAGTGTACTCGTGGGAACATGTGCATGTTGTTGTTGATTTTTATTTTACTTCGCAAGGCCAAACGGGCAATGGTGCCCAATTCTATGGAAGCGAATTTCAAAGGGGACCATAACCCAGATCAACATTGCATGCGAACCCACACATGCGGGCACGAGCACGCGCGCACACACACACACACGCACACACACATGTGAGCACACATACACACATACACACATGTGCGCACACACACACACACACTATATTGAGTCATACACCTGCCCACCGCTGAAGCGAGGATAGCGAGCAAACTACGTTAGACATAGCAACTTGTGCTCGGATTACACCTTTCAACAGCTTGCACACACATACACACACGCGCGTGCATGCGTGCACGTACACACGCGCACATACACACACACACACATAAATGCATGTACTTGCGCATAGGAAAGGATTCAAAAATATTCAGCCATAGACATTATTTACCCAATGCACACCTGAGTGTGCACATCTTAGTTGCGGCATCCCCATTTTTACAAGAGCAGGATTTAGAAGTTCGTCCTTGGTTCAAAACACAAGCTTCTGGCCAGCGCTTTCCTTACACCATCAGTACAGTACAGTGGTTGACACGAACCTCATTCCTACAGGGACAGCAGCCCAAGTTCAGCAGCTCTGAGATACGTTGTCCATCGTGAGCTCAGGATACTCAAGGATCCACCGAAAGTTTCAAACGGCACTCGTGCGACTGGAGCTGCAAGTGGGTCCACTTACCAGCGAGTGGGCAGCCACTTCATGCTCCACAGGAAGTCCATGCTAAATTCCAGTACCAGTACTAGTATCACTACGTTCGACATCGATGTCTTCACTGACTTCAGCCTGCTTTTCTCACCCTTCTTCGTCAGTAATAATATTTTCTTCTTTGTGGCCACCGCGTACCGCTTCAGCAAAGTTTTCAGAAAAAAATCAAGCAGCGTAGGAACTGCCTTTGTTTTGCATTATCCATGGTCAGTGATTCATTCCAGCGTAGAAACTGCCACGGCTACAGAAACACTGCAACAAGTAGAACTACATCCTGGAACAACTGCGAGCACAGAGAAATCAAAAAACTTCTTTCTGAACAACAGCTTGTTTTCGCGTGGAACGCGATATTTTTTTAATCTCGCGGCAAAAAACAGATTTTGGAGGTGCCCTTTTTACACTGCGCTGCGCAACTGTTCGGAGCCTCCTTAAAAGTGAAGAGTGTGAGTGCTGTAACGACTTCGTTTTGTTTGCATCAATCTGGATTACAAGTGCGAATAAACATGTTTTCAGTGTGATAACGATTTCTGATAGGGATGAAGCGATCATCCATTTCTTCTTATCGAGTACCGTTTATCATAAACGATCGAGCTATCATAAAACGAGTATGCTGGATATGTATGACATATCAAAATGTTACTGGTCTCCGGAACATGATAATAGCTCATTCATGACTTGTGTATACAGTAAAATAGAGTTACTTAGTATACGCTCATACATGTGCATGTAGTGATGCACATGTATAGTACATGTATGTCACGAATGCTGACTATTGGCATCTCCGAAGTACACACATGTACTAGTAGTGTGACATCTCGTCTAGAAGTACTGTGATACAGTTCTAGACACCCATCAAATCCTGCACACCCAGTTTGTTTTACTGCAGAGATGGTACACACTGGATCCCAAAAGTGCGAAGGTGACTAGGAAAAGGAGTGGATTTTGTCACCTTGGATGACACGTGCTGGTGTTGACTATGCAGACAGTGCGACTTAGCTAGTACTATGCACATGTACAATACACATGTACACGTAGTGCATACTGGATAACAGCATAACGAGTAGCGCTCCTAGAGATAACGAGTAAGTTCTGAGTAATCGGTGTAAACGTTTCATACCTAATTTCTGATGATTATCACATGAAACCGACATTCAAATCTTAAAATCTTAAAATATTGTTCTATTGTTCTCGTGGTATGAGTGCGCTTACTTTCCTTTCATCGATATTATTATGTATTCATTGAGCTCGGATGGTGAGCCAATGTCAGTTTTGGCACATTTTTGTTACACTCGCTGACAGTATAATATTATGATATTGTTACTTTGGTGGACAGTTAGTCATAACTCGTAACGTGTTGTCCTTCTCCCTTTTTACCATACGTATTTATGTTCATGGTTTCTGTTCTTCCTCCCGAAAGACTCGTCAACTCTTCCACCGACAACAACACCAGTGCCAACTACCCTGGCACCAACTACCCAGGCACCAACAACAACACCAGTGCCAACCACCCTGGCACCAACTACCCAGGCACCAACTACCCAGGCAACAACCACCCTGGCTTCAACTACCCCGGCATCAACTACCGTGGCACAGACTAACTTGGCACAGAATACCAAAACCTCAAATGTATCCGGCAGTGAAGGTAACAATAGGAATTTGAAAACGCTACGTATAGTGTTCAAGGATCCCATACATAGGTTACTATGTGAATAGATGGGACTATTCAGTCTTAGTTCTACTGTCATGGACATGGAAATCCGGTCGCACGTCTAGCGGCCCCAGGGCGCTGGCCATGCAGCCGTGGATAAGCGGTACACACATGCATTTATGCGCTGGTCGCCTGATCGACATGGCTTGTGCACTGCACGCAGCGTTCTGTACGTGCTGAGGGCGCCGGCCCCGGTCAATCGATTGAATTCCCATGTCCACTATAGTACTATGAAGCATAGTTTTAGTTTATGCCCGTCAGCAGCAATGGCATAGCTGGGTCCCCTTTCAGGGGAGGGGAGGGGTGCTATAGAAATGTTCTTTAGACAGTTAGCTTGGTCTTAAAACAATAGTAGGGATGTTTGTAATTGAAATTTCCCGTCGGGAGAGAAGAAAGATATGCACGTAATAAGTAAGGCTAATTGCTCATTGTACGCACACACACACACGCACACACACACACACACACACACACACACACACACACAATTGGCTATGGTCTATCCTTGCATAACTTCGCTGCCATATCATCAGAAGGTCAGGTAGGCTATCTTGCTGGACGTTTCTGGGAAATGCATCTCTAGGCGCTGTGCATAACCACGTCACCGCAATGCTCATCATGTGCAAAAGGACCAAGAGCCACATGAAGAAACTTGAGAGCTACTACAGCAACCCGTGGCATGTGCACCGAGCAATGAAAGGGTGTTTCCAGAGTTTGCAGTTTGTATTTGTAAGCGAGCCAATTAAATGTCTGGAAGTACTGTCGTTGCAGATAGCGCCTTGAAAATCCTGACTGCTTGCATTCATCTCGCGCAAAGACTGTATGGAAGAGTAGCAGGCAGCAGTGGTTCTCTCCCTGAAATTAGCGTCCTCTTTTCTTGGTCAGTGCACAACGATCCCCTACAAAGCTTTTCTAGTTACTGCATTATCGAGTGATGTTTCTCCTTGCTGGAGCGTCTCCTGACAGGGCTGCTCGACATGAGAATCCTCCACAGCACACTGATCGAGAATTAGAAGCACAGTGTCGATGCCGGAATCATCCGCAACTTCTACACTGGCAACTGCGACGCCTTCCCTCTCCTCTGCAATATCTCATTGGTGCTTTGCAGAAAAGAATGAGGAGAGGCTGGGCTGATCCTCAGTAATCGCCAAGCCATCACGAAACGATGTGTGGGAAAAATCGGAAACATTTGACACAGCACGTAGTACTCATGGTCAATCAAGCGATGGTAGCAAACGGGAGGTTCTAAGTTAGAAATAACCTTCCAAGCTGGAAGGCTGTTGGTGTGCGCATCCAAGATATGCTAGATTTGGTTCATCAAGCGAAATAGGCGTCATAGTACATTTGAGACTAGCGGCAAGGAGATGACGACATCCACTAATTAATTTAGTATCTGTGCACACAAATGTGTTATGGGTGAGACTGTGTGTGTCAGCTATGACATCAAACCCTATGGCCATGCCTAGCATGTAGGTCAGAACCATCCTGCATACATGTAGCTTGAATGCTGTATGTTGAACGATCGCGCGGACAACCATACATTTTGAAATTCTCTTCGTAACATACCTTCCTGTATTGAAATTTCGAATTTCTTGCTGAGAGGGGTAGCTTGAAACCTCGATATGGCTTGTTCCAGGCATGCTGTGAAGCGAAACCCTGTTGAAGTAGTGGCGGGGATCTGCCCTGCAACTGCTACAACAAAAAATGATTCGATCTGCGTAAAGTGTCTTTGTGTGGCCGTCCTATGCCATGAGAAACTCCAATCAGGCTCTTATGTCCTCTGTGTTCTTGATTGAATGTCCACTTCGCTTGAACAACGAACACAACAATCGAGGACGGCTTTGCAATGAAAAATACTGCTATACTGGAGCGGGAAAATGAAGAGAAAACGAGTTCAGGATGAGACTCGAGTACACGCGTACTCTCCCACCAGGTTCTGTGGATGTCGCTCATAGATTCGTCATTTCGGGTGACAGCCAGTAAGGTGTAGAACATCAGTACCGTTGGTCAGTGTCGTGCAATGTTGTCGCATGAGCTCATTGTAAAGTAACTGGTGGTGTTAGTGGACAATAATTATAGCTTAACTTGTAGTTCCTTGGTCCTTTTTCTTTTCTATAAATTTATCCTTCGCTCTCCATCCGTGTCCAAACTTGTGAATAGTTAGAATTTTTTCTTCTTTCTTCCCTTATTGGACGAGTTTGCATTGTAGCTCATTGTGTTCTGCATTGATCCTCAAGTTTGGGTCAGATTGCCTTACACTATTTCTAACAGTTGCTACACTGCCCCCCCCCCCCCCTCTCTCTTTTAGTCCAACTCCTGTACGTGCATTCGGCTGCAAGCTGCAAGCTGCAGGATGCAAGAGTTTTTTGGTTGTTTTGTTTTCCTGTCTTTTTCTCCTTCTTCTTTTTTTTGAAGGAAGGGGTAATGTAAATATCGCAATGCAGTTGCATGTAATACCATGTATGCATGTGTAGGCATGCACATGCTTGTACCGCTTTATGTACAGCAGAAGAGAGATGACATGGCGCACTGCTGATAGAGAACTAAAAACAATCGGTTCAGCACAATGCGTGACTGAAAATATGTCTACATTCATCTTTGATTCGGTTGCATGTGGGCACATAAGAAAATACTATTGTCAGAGATCATAAGTTGGGAAATTGACTAAACAACAAAAAGCTCTTTATTGGATATGTGTGGCCATTGTGCCTAGTTCTGGATTTCCGCTTGACTGTCCCTCTTAGTACAAATACTCTTAAACTAAACTTCTTCCCTTTCGTAACAATATCTGGATACAGTACTTTCCACTATTCTCCACTGATCCTGGTCTACAAATATTTCATTCATTCTGTTATTATAATTATTTTGCTTCTGTTGTTTTCTTCCAACAGCTGCTACAATTCCTTCAGGAACCCAGCGGCCAAACACTCAGCCATTGCCAGGTCAAACTGTAGTAACTCTGCAACCAACAAATGGTGCTAATGATACCACAGCAACAGACATGCCATCATCTACTGAGGTGCAAACAAACCCGTCTGGTTGGGTAAACAACAACACCAACACCACCCAAGGTCAACATGGACACCCAGGCCAAGATGGTACAGGTAATGCTACTTTCTGTATTCGTTCATGTAAAATTCCATTACATCATCATCTGTTTAGTCCCCAAGGTGATTTCAAGTAATGCAATGCGGATATACAGCTTGTTCAAGGATGTTCTCCTCTAGCGAACCTGCACACTCATGTCACACCCTCAGCACACACAGACACACGCGCACACACACACTCAGACTCAGACTCAGACATGCCCATCGCAGAAGTGATGATAGTGAACAGCTATGTTAGACATAGAAATTTGTGCTGGGATTACACCATTCAACAGCTTGCAAGGCAGATGAATTGACCACCACTAATTTTAGCCTGGTATCCACCAAGGTTCAACTCAAAGGTTCAAAACTACAAGTTACGTTATAATGTCCACTAACATCCCCCACCTTCCAAGTTGGAAGGCTGTTGTAGTGCGCATCCAAGATGTACTAGAGCTTTTAACCAGTTAGTTGTAGAACGGCAGAACGGCAGCGTTTGTTCGGTGCAATTCCGATTCCGGTCGCGGAATGAAGGGAGCAGAATCGATCCTGGCGATTCCTAAGAAAAATTGGAATGAGGTCTCATTCCGAGCGGAATGAAAATGCGCGGAGGGGCTTCGTCGCTGCTGCATACCTCCCCAACAAAACTTCAAACGCGATTATCGATATACAGAAATATTGGCGGACATCGTCCAATGTATACATGGTATACATGGTATAGGCTGGCACCGTAACCTCGGCATAGTAACTATTACTTGTTCGTGGTATTTTGACCCTTCGCTGCCTGAGAAAGTGTTCGCCCGGGATTGTTGATGAACTGGAAATATGCCCTCGCACCTCAGATCTTCATCATCGTCGAGCAGGGCCTCTACTAGAACCACAGAAAAAGCGTAAAAATAAGAAGAGGAGCCAGTCAGTGCCGCATACTATGCCAGGTATGAAACGACTCAGCTACCAACATCAATTCGAATGCCTCTCCAAAATATCTGGACACCTGGTAACGGCTAAAAAAATTGTTAAAAAATCTAAAAAGACCAAGGCGCTGAAGGAGCTCAAGAACGCAAGCGAAGTCCTGCAGAATAGGTTGGACTGGCTAGCAGTGGCGGACCGCCATGGCCATGACACCGCCACAGCGTTCACGGAAGGGGACGGCATGGCTGGCCTCTTGGCCAGCGCAGACAAACGGAAACGTCTCCGCCTAGCCATCGAGGCCACGAAGCAGGGAAAGGATGGCTCGAAGCCAAAGAAGCCCCAGCAGCAGCCCTTTCGGGCCAGCACTCCCGCACCAGCCGGCAACTGGAGTGCCGCACCAGCCCGGGCTGCCCCAGCGCAACGGTTGCCAGCCGAGCCAGCCAGGCCCACAACCCGGCAGTCTACGGCTGTGTGCCACCACTGCGGAGAGACGGGCCACTACGTTCGGTATTGCCCGAAACTCAGTAAAAGCTAAGTTTGCATTGTAGCTCATTGTGTTCTGCATTGATCCTCAAGTTTGGGTCAGATTGCCTTACACTATTTCTAATAGTTGCTACACTGCCCCCCCCCCCTCTCTCTTTTAGTCCAACTCCTGTACGTGCATTCGGCTGCAAGCTGCAAGCTGCAGGATGCAAGAGTTTTTTGGTTGTTTTGTTTTCCCGGCTTTTTCTCCTTCTTCTTTTTTTTTGAAGGAAGGGGTAATGTAAATATCGCAATGCAGTTGCATGTAATACCATGTATGCATGTGTAGGCATGCACATGCTTGTACCGCTTTATGTACAGCAGAAGAGAGATGACATGGCGCACTGCTGATAGAGAACTAAAAACAATCGGTTCAGCACAATGCGTGACTGAAAATATGTCTACATTCATCTTTGATTCGGTTGCATGTGGGCACATAAGAAAATACTATTGTCAGAGATCATAAGTTGGGAAATTGACTAAACAACAAAAAGCTCTTTATTGGATATGTGTGGCCATTGTGCCTAGTTCTGGATTTCCGCTTGACTGTCCCTCTTAGTACAAATACTCTTAAACTAAACTTCTTCCCTTTCGTAACAATATCTGGATACAGTACTTTCCACTATTCTCCACTGATCCTGGTCTACCAATATTTCATTCATTCTGTTATTATAATTATTTTGCTTCTGTTGTTTTCTTCCAACAGCTGCTACAATTCCTTCAGGAAGCCAGCGGCCAAACACTCAGCCATTGCCAGGTCAAACTGTAGTAACTCTGCAACCAACAAATGGTGCTAATGATACCACAGCAACAGACATGCCATCATCTACTGAGGTGCAAACAAACCCGTCTGGTTGGGTAAACAACAACACCAACACCACCCAAGGTCAACATGGACACCCAGGCCAAGATGGTACAGGTAATGCTACTTTCTGTAGTCTTTCATGTAAACTTCCATTACATCATCATCTGTTTAGTCCCCAAGGTGATTTCAAGTAATGCAATGCGGATATACAGCTTGTTCAAGGATGTTCTCCTCTAGCGAACCTGCACACTCATGTCACACCCTCAGCACACACAGACACACGCGCACACACACACTCAGACTCAGACTCAGACATGCCCATCGCGGAAGTGATGATAGTGAACAGCTATGTTAGACATAGAAATTTGTGCTGGGATTACACCATTCAACAGCTTGCAAGGCAGATGAATTGACCACCACTAATTTTAGCCTGGTATCCACCAAGGTTCAACTCAAAGGTTCAAAACTACAAGTTACGTTATAATGTCCACTAACATCCCTCACCTTCCAAGTTGGAAGGCTGTTGTAGTGCGCATCCAAGATGTACTAGAGCTTTTAACCAGTTAGTTGTAGAACGGCAGAACGGCAGCGGTTGTTCGGTGCAATTCCGATTCCGGTCGCGGAATGAAGGGAGCAGAATCGATCCTGGCGATTCCTAAGAAAAATTGGAATGAGGTCTCATTCCGAGCGGAATGAAAATGCGCGGAGGGGCTTCGTCGCTGCTGCATACCTCCCCAACAAAACTTCAAACGCGATTATCGATATACAGAAATATTGGCGGACATCGTCCAATGTATACATGGTATACATGGTATAGGCTGGCACCGTAACCTCGGCATAGTAACTATTACTTGTTCGTGGTATTTTGACCCTTCGCTGCCTGAGAAAGTGTTCGCCCGGGATTGTTGATGAACTGGAAATATGCCCTCGCACCTCAGATCTTCATCGTCGTCGAGCAGGGCCTCTACTAGAACCACAGAAAAAGCGTAAAAATAAGAAGAGGAGCCAGTCAGTGCCGCATACTATGCCAGGTATGAAACGACTCAGCTACCAACATCAATTCGAATGCCTCTCCGAAATATCTGGACACCTGGTAACGGCTAAAAAAATTGTTAAAAAATCTAAAAAGACCAAGGCGCTGAAGGAGCTCAAGAACGCAAGCGAAGTCCTGCAGAATAGGTTGGACTGGCTAGCAGTGGCGGACCGCCATGGCCATGACACCGCCACAGCGTTCACGGAAGGGGACGGCATGGCTGGCCTCTTGGCCAGCGCAGACAAACGGAAACGTCTCCGCCTAGCCATCGAGGCCACGAAGCAGGGAAAGGATGGCTCGAAGCCAAAGAAGCCCCAGCAGCAGCCCTTTCGGGCCAGCACTCCCGCACCAGCCGGCAACTGGAGTGCCGCACCAGCCCGGGCTGCCCCAGCGCAACGGTTGCCAGCCGAGCCAGCCAGGCCCACAACCCGGCAGTCTACGGCTGTGTGCCACCACTGCGGAGAGACGGGCCACTACGTTCGGTATTGCCCGAAACTCAGTAAAAGCTAAGTTTGCATTGTAGCTCATTGTGTTCTGCATTGATCCTCAAGTTTGGGTCAGATTGCCTTACACTATTTCTAACAGTTGCTACACTGCCCCCCCCCCCCCCCCCTCTCTCTTTTAGTCCAACTCCTGTACGTGCATTCGGCTGCAAGCTGCAAGCTGCAGGATGCAAGAGTTTTTTGGTTGTTTTGTTTTCCCGGCTTTTTCTCCTTCTTCTTTTTTTTTGAAGGAAGGGGTAATGTAAATATCGCAATGCAGTTGCATGTAATACCATGTATGCATGTGTAGGCATGCACATGCTTGTACCGCTTTATGTACAGCAGAAGAGAGATGACATGGCGCACTGCTGATAGAGAACTAAAAACAATCGGTTCAGCACAATGCGTGACTGAAAATATGTCTACATTCATCTTTGATTCGGTTGCATGTGGGCACATAAGAAAATACTATTGTCAGAGATCATAAGTTGGGAAATTGACTAAACAACAAAAAGCTCTTTATTGGATATGTGTGGCCATTGTGCCTAGTTCTGGATTTCCGCTTGACTGTCCCTCTTAGTACAAATACTCTTAAACTAAACTTCTTCCCTTTCGTAACAATATCTGGATACAGTACTTTCCACTATTCTCCACTGATCCTGGTCTACAAATATTTCATTCATTCTGTTATTATAATTATTTTGCTTCTGTTGTTTTCTTCCAACAGCTGCTACAATTCCTTCAGGAACCCAGCGGCCAAACACTCAGCCATTGCCAGGTCAAACTGTAGTAACTCTGCAACCAACAAATGGTGCTAATGATACCACAGCAACAGACATGCCATCATCTACTGAGGTGCAAACAAACCCGTCTGGTTGGGTAAACAACAACACCAACACCACCCAAGGTCAACATGGACACCCAGGCCAAGATGGTACAGGTAATGCTACTTTCTGTAGTCGTTCATGTAAACTTCCATTACATCATCATCTGTTTAGTCCCCAAGGTGATTTCAAGTAATGCAATGCGGATATACAGCTTGTTCAAGGATGTTCTCCTCTAGCGAACCTGCACACTCATGTCACACCCTCAGCACACACAGACACACGCGCACACACACACTCAGACTCAGACTCAGACATGCCCATCGCGGAAGTGATGATAGTGAACAGCTATGTTAGACATAGAAATTTGTGCTGGGATTACACCATTCAACAGCTTGCAAGGCAGATGAATTGACCACCACTAATTTTAGCCTGGTATCCACCAAGGTTCAACTCAAAGGTTCAAAACTACAAGTTACGTTATAATGTCCACTAACATCCCTCACCTTCCAAGTTGGAAGGCTGTTGTAGTGCGCATCCAAGATGTACTAGAGCTTTTAACCAGTTAGTTGTAGAACGGCAGAACGGCAGCGGTTGTTCGGTGCAATTCCGATTCCGGTCGCGGAATGAAGGGAGCAGAATCGATCCTGGCGATTCCTAAGAAAAATTGGAATGAGGTCTCATTCCGAGCGGAATGAAAATGCGCGGAGGGGCTTCGTCGCTGCTGCATACCTCCCCAACAAAACTTCAAACGCGATTATCGATATACAGAAATATTGGCGGACATCGTCCAATGTATACATGGTATACATGGTATAGGCTGGCACCGTAACCTCGGCATAGTAACTATTACTTGTTCGTGGTATTTTGACCCTTCGCTGCCTGAGAAAGTGTTCGCCCGGGATTGTTGATGAACTGGAAATATGCCCTCGCACCTCAGATCTTCATCGTCGTCGAGCAGGGCCTCTACTAGAACCACAGAAAAAGCGTAAAAATAAGAAGAGGAGCCAGTCAGTGCCGCATACTATGCCAGGTATGAAACGACTCAGCTACCAACATCAATTCGAATGCCTCTCCGAAATATCTGGACACCTGGTAACGGCTAAAAAAATTGTTAAAAAATCTAAAAAGACCAAGGCGCTGAAGGAGCTCAAGAACGCAAGCGAAGTCCTGCAGAATAGGTTGGACTGGCTAGCAGTGGCGGACCGCCATGGCCATGACACCGCCACAGCGTTCACGGAAGGGGACGGCATGGCTGGCCTCTTGGCCAGCGCAGACAAACGGAAACGTCTCCGCCTAGCCATCGAGGCCACGAAGCAGGGAAAGGATGGCTCGAAGCCAAAGAAGCCCCAGCAGCAGCCCTTTCGGGCCAGCACTCCCGCACCAGCCGGCAACTGGAGTGCCGCACCAGCCCGGGCTGCCCCAGCGCAACGGTCGCCAGCCGAGCCAGCCAGGCCCACAACCCGGCAGTCTACGGCTGTGTGCCACCACTGCGGAGAGACGGGCCACTACGTTCGGTATTGCCCGAAACTCAGTAAAAGCTAAGTTTGCATTGTAGCTCATTGTGTTCTGCATTGATCCTCAAGTTTGGGTCAGATTGCCTTACACTATTTCTAACAGTTGCTACACTGCCCCCCCCCCCCCTCTCTCTTTTAGTCCAACTCCTGTACGTGCATTCGGCTGCAAGCTGCAAGCTGCAGGATGCAAGAGTTTTTTGGTTGTTTTGTTTTCCCGGCTTTTTCTCCTTCTTCTTTTTTTTTGAAGGAAGGGGTAATGTAAATATCGCAATGCAGTTGCATGTAATACCATGTATGCATGTGTAGGCATGCACATGCTTGTACCGCTTTATGTACAGCAGAAGAGAGATGACATGGCGCACTGCTGATAGAGAACTAAAAACAATCGGTTCAGCACAATGCGTGACTGAAAATATGTCTACATTCATCTTTGATTCGGTTGCATGTGGGCACATAAGAAAATACTATTGTCAGAGATCATAAGTTGGGAAATTGACTAAACAACAAAAAGCTCTTTATTGGATATGTGTGGCCATTGTGCCTAGTTCTGGATTTCCGCTTGACTGTCCCTCTTAGTACAAATACTCTTAAACTAAACTTCTTCCCTTTCGTAACAATATCTGGATACAGTACTTTCCACTATTCTCCACTGATCCTGGTCTACAAATATTTCATTCATTCTGTTATTATAATTATTTTGCTTCTGTTGTTTTCTTCCAACAGCTGCTACAATTCCTTCAGGAACCCAGCGGCCAAACACTCAGCCATTGCCAGGTCAAACTGTAGTAACTCTGCAACCAACAAATGGTGCTAATGATACCACAGCAACAGACATGCCATCATCTACTGAGGTGCAAACAAACCCGTCTGGTTGGGTAAACAACAACACCAACACCACCCAAGGTCAACATGGACACCCAGGCCAAGATGGTACAGGTAATGCTACTTTCTGTAGTCTTTCATGTAAACTTCCATTACATCATCATCTGTTTAGTCCCCAAGGTGATTTCAAGTAATGCAATGCGGATATACAGCTTGTTCAAGGATGTTCTCCTCTAGCGAACCTGCACACTCATGTCACACCCTCAGCACACACAGACACACGCGCACACACACACTCAGACTCAGACTCAGACATGCCCATCGCGGAAGTGATGATAGTGAACAGCTATGTTAGACATAGAAATTTGTGCTGGGATTACACCATTCAACAGCTTGCAAGGCAGATGAATTGACCACCACTAATTTTAGCCTGGTATCCACCAAGGTTCAACTCAAAGGTTCAAAACTACAAGTTACGTTATAATGTCCACTAACATCCCTCACCTTCCAAGTTGGAAGGCTGTTGTAGTGCGCATCCAAGATGTACTAGAGCTTTTAACCAGTTAGTTGTAGAACGGCAGAACGGCAGCGGTTGTTCGGTGCAATTCCGATTCCGGTCGCGGAATGAAGGGAGCAGAATCGATCCTGGCGATTCCTAAGAAAAATTGGAATGAGGTCTCATTCCGAGCGGAATGAAAATGCGCGGAGGGGCTTCGTCGCTGCTGCATACCTCCCCAACAAAACTTCAAACGCGATTATCGATATACAGAAATATTGGCGGACATCGTCCAATGTATACATGGTATACATGGTATAGGCTGGCACCGTAACCTCGGCATAGTAACTATTACTTGTTCGTGGTATTTTGACCCTTCGCTGCCTGAGAAAGTGTTCGCCCGGGATTGTTGATGAACTGGAAATATGCCCTCGCACCTCAGATCTTCATCGTCGTCGAGCAGGGCCTCTACTAGAACCACAGAAAAAGCGTAAAAATAAGAAGAGGAGCCAGTCAGTGCCGCATACTATGCCAGGTATGAAACGACTCAGCTACCAACATCAATTCGAATGCCTCTCCAAAATATCTGGACACCTGGTAACGGCTAAAAAAATTGTTAAAAAATCTAAAAAGACCAAGGCGCTGAAGGAGCTCAAGAACGCAAGCGAAGTCCTGCAGAATAGGTTGGACTGGCTAGCAGTGGCGGACCGCCATGGCCATGACACCGCCACAGCGTTCACGGAAGGGGACGGCATGGCTGGCCTCTTGGCCAGCGCAGACAAACGGAAACGTCTCCGCCTAGCCATCGAGGCCACGAAGCAGGGAAAGGATGGCTCGAAGCCAAAGAAGCCCCAGCAGCAGCCCTTTCGGGCCAGCACTCCCGCACCAGCCGGCAACTGGAGTGCCGCACCAGCCCGGGCTGCCCCAGCGCAACGGTCGCCAGCCGAGCCAGCCAGGCCCACAACCCGGCAGTCTACGGCTGTGTGCCACCACTGCGGAGAGACGGGCCACTACGTTCGGTATTGCCCGAAACTCAGTAAAAGCTAAGTTTGCATTGTAGCTCATTGTGTTCTGCATTGATCCTCAAGTTTGGGTCAGATTGCCTTACACTATTTCTAACAGTTGCTACACTGCCCCCCCCCCCCCCCCCTCTCTCTTTTAGTCCAACTCCTGTACGTGCATTCGGCTGCAAGCTGCAAGCTGCAGGATGCAAGAGTTTTTTGGTTGTTTTGTTTTCCCGGCTTTTTCTCCTTCTTCTTTTTTTTTGAAGGAAGGGGTAATGTAAATATCGCAATGCAGTTGCATGTAATACCATGTATGCATGTGTAGGCATGCACATGCTTGTACCGCTTTATGTACAGCAGAAGAGAGATGACATGGCGCACTGCTGATAGAGAACTAAAAACAATCGGTTCAGCACAATGCGTGACTGAAAATATGTCTACATTCATCTTTGATTCGGTTGCATGTGGGCACATAAGAAAATACTATTGTCAGAGATCATAAGTTGGGAAATTGACTAAACAACAAAAAGCTCTTTATTGGATATGTGTGGCCATTGTGCCTAGTTCTGGATTTCCGCTTGACTGTCCCTCTTAGTACAAATACTCTTAAACTAAACTTCTTCCCTTTCGTAACAATATCTGGATACAGTACTTTCCACTATTCTCCACTGATCCTGGTCTACAAATATTTCATTCATTCTGTTATTATAATTATTTTGCTTCTGTTGTTTTCTTCCAACAGCTGCTACAATTCCTTCAGGAACCCAGCGGCCAAACACTCAGCCATTGCCAGGTCAAACTGTAGTAACTCTGCAACCAACAAATGGTGCTAATGATACCACAGCAACAGACATGCCATCATCTACTGAGGTGCAAACAAACCCGTCTGGTTGGGTAAACAACAACACCAACACCACCCAAGGTCAACATGGACACCCAGGCCAAGATGGTACAGGTAATGCTACTTTCTGTAGTCTTTCATGTAAACTTCCATTACATCATCATCTGTTTAGTCCCCAAGGTGATTTCAAGTAATGCAATGCGGATATACAGCTTGTTCAAGGATGTTCTCCTCTAGCGAACCTGCACACTCATGTCACACCCTCAGCACACACAGACACACGCGCACACACACACACTCAGACTCAGACTCAGACATGCCCATCGCGGAAGTGATGATAGTGAACAGCTATGTTAGACATAGAAATTTTTGCTGGGATTACACCATTCAACAGCTTGCAAGGCAGATGAATTGACCACCACTAATTTTAGCCTGGTATCCACCAAGGTTCAACTCAAAGGTTCAAAACTACAAGTTACGTTATAATGTCCACTAACATCCCTCACCTTCCAAGTTGGAAGGCTGTTGTAGTGCGCATCCAAGATGTACTAGAGCTTTTAACCAGTTAGTTGTAGAACGGCAGAACGGCAGCGGTTGTTCGGTGCAATTCCGATTCCGGTCGCGGAATGAAGGGAGCAGAATCGATCCTGGCGATTCCTAAGAAAAATTGGAATGAGGTCTCATTCCGAGCGGAATGAAAATGCGCGGAGGGGCTTCGTCGCTGCTGCATACCTCCCCAACAAAACTTCAAACGCGATTATCGATATACAGAAATATTGGCGGACATCGTCCAATGTATACATGGTATACATGGTATAGGCTGGCACCGTAACCTCGGCATAGTAACTATTACTTGTTCGTGGTATTTTGACCCTTCGCTGCCTGAGAAAGTGTTCGCCCGGGATTGTTGATGAACTGGAAATATGCCCTCGCACCTCAGATCTTCATCGTCGTCGAGCAGGGCCTCTACTAGAACCACAGAAAAAGCGTAAAAATAAGAAGAGGAGCCAGTCAGTGCCGCATACTATGCCAGGTATGAAACGACTCAGCTACCAACATCAATTCGAATGCCTCTCCGAAATATCTGGACACCTGGTAACGGCTAAAAAAATTGTTAAAAAATCTAAAAAGACCAAGGCGCTGAAGGAGCTCAAGAACGCAAGCGAAGTCCTGCAGAATAGGTTGGACTGGCTAGCAGTGGCGGACCGCCATGGCCATGACACCGCCACAGCGTTCACGGAAGGGGACGGCATGGCTGGCCTCTTGGCCAGCGCAGACAAACGGAAACGTCTCCGCCTAGCCATCGAGGCCACGAAGCAGGGAAAGGATGGCTCGAAGCCAAAGAAGCCCCAGCAGCAGCCCTTTCGGGCCAGCACTCCCGCACCAGCCGGCAACTGGAGTGCCGCACCAGCCCGGGCTGCCCCAGCGCAACGGTTGCCAGCCGAGCCAGCCAGGCCCACAACCCGGCAGTCTACGGCTGTGTGCCACCACTGCGGAGAGACGGGCCACTACGTTCGGTATTGCCCGAAACTCAGTAAAAGCTAAGTTTGCATTGTAGCTCATTGTGTTCTGCATTGATCCTCAAGATTGGGTCAGATTGCCTTACACTATTTCTAACAGTTGCTACACTGCCCCCCCCCCCCCTCTCTCTTTTAGTCCAACTCCTGTACGTGCATTCGGCTGCAAGCTGCAAGCTGCAGGATGCAAGAGTTTTTTGGTTGTTTTGTTTCCCCGGCTTTTTCTCCTTCTTCTTTTTTTTTGAAGGAAGGGGTAATGTAAATATCGCAATGCAGTTGCATGTAATACCATGTATGCATGTGTAGGCATGCACATGCTTGTACCGCTTTATGTACAGCAGAAGAGAGATGATATGGCGCACTGCTGATAGAGAACTAAAAACAATCGGTTCAGCACAATGCGTGACTGAAAATATGTCTACATTCATCTTTGATTCGGTTGCATGTGGGCACATAAGAAAATACTATTGTCAGAGATCATAAGTTGGGAAATTGACTAAACAACAAAAAGCTCTTTATTGGATATGTGTGGCCATTGTGCCTAGTTCTGGATTTCCGCTTGACTGTCCCTCTTAGTACAAATACTCTTAAACTAAACTTCTTCCCTTTCGTAACAATATCTGGATACAGTACTTTCCACTATTCTCCACTGATCCTGGTCTACAAATATTTCATTCATTCTGTTATTATAATTATTTTGCTTCTGTTGTTTTCTTCCAACAGCTGCTACAATTCCTTCAGGAACCCAGCGGCCAAACACTCAGCCATTGCCAGGTCAAACTGTAGTAACTCTGCAACCAACAAATGGTGCTAATGATACCACAGCAACAGACATGCCATCATCTACTGAGGTGCAAACAAACCCGTCTGGTTGGGTAAACAACAACACCAACACCACCCAAGGTCAACATGGACACCCAGGCCAAGATGGTACAGGTAATGCTACTTTCTGTAGTCTTTCATGTAAACTTCCATTACATCATCATCTGTTTAGTCCCCAAGGTGATTTCAAGTAATGCAATGCGGATATACAGCTTGTTCAAGGATGTTCTCCTCTAGCGAACCTGCACACTCATGTCACACCCTCAGCACACACAGACACACGCGCACACACACACTCAGACTCAGACTCAGACATGCCCATCGCGGAAGTGATGATAGTGAACAGCTATGTTAGACATAGAAATTTGTGCTGGGATTACACCATTCAACAGCTTGCAAGGCAGATGAATTGACCACCACTAATTTTAGCCTGGTATCCACCAATGTTCAACTCAAAGGTTCAAAACTACAAGTTACGTTATAATGTCCACTAACATCCCCCATCTTCCAAGTTGGAAGGCTGTTGTAGTGCGCATCCAAGATGTACTAGAGCTTTTAACCAGTTAGTTGTACAACGGCAGAACGGCAGCGGTTGTTCGGTGCAATTCCGATTCCGGTCGCGGAATGAAGGGAGCAGAATCGATCCTGGCGATTCCTAAGAAAAATTGGAATGAGGTCTCATTCCGAGCGGAATGAAAATGCGCGGAGGGGCTTCGTCGCTGCTGCATACCTCCCCAACAAAACTTCAAACGCGATTATCGATATACAGAAATATTGGCGGACATCGTCCAATGTATACATGGTATACATGGTATAGGCTGGCACCGTAACCTCGGCATAGTAACTATTACTTGTTCGTGGTATTTTGACCCTTCGCTGCCTGAGAAAGTGTTCGCCCGGGATTGTTGATGAACTGGAAATATGCCCTCGCACCTCAGATCTTCATCGTCGTCGAGCAGGGCCTCTACTAGAACCACAGAAAAAGCGTAAAAATAAGAAGAGGAGCCAGTCAGTGCCGCATACTATGCCAGGTATGAAACGACTCAGCTACCAACATCAATTCGAATGCCTCTCCGAAATATCTGGACACCTGGTAACGGCTAAAAAAATTGTTAAAAAATCTAAAAAGACCAAGGCGCTGAAGGAGCTCAAGAACGCAAGCGAAGTCCTGCAGAATAGGTTGGACTGGCTAGCAGTGGCGGACCGCCATGGCCATGACACCGCCACAGCGTTCACGGAAGGGGACGGCATGGCTGGCCTCTTGGCCAGCGCAGACAAACGGAAACGTCTCCGCCTAGCCATCGAGGCCACGAAGCAGGGAAAGGATGGCTCGAAGCCAAAGAAGCCCCAGCAGCAGCCCTTTCGGGCCAGCACTCCCGCACCAGCCGGCAACTGGAGTGCCGCACCAGCCCGGGTTGCCCCAGCGCAACGGTTGCCAGCCGAGCCAGCCAGGCCCACAACCCGGCAGTCTACGGCTGTGTGCCACCACTGCGGAGAGACGGGCCACTACGTTCGGTATTGCCCGAAACTCAGTAAAAGCTAAGTTTGCATTGTAGCTCATTGTGTTCTGCATTGATCCTCAAGTTTGGGTCAGATTGCCTTACACTATTTCTAACAGTTGCTACACTGCCCCCCCCCCCCCTCTCTCTTTTAGTCCAACTCCTGTACGTGCATTCGGCTGCAAGCTGCAAGCTGCAGGATGCAAGAGTTTTTTGGTTGTTTTGTTTTCCCGGCTTTTTCTCCTTCTTCTTTTTTTTTGAAGGAAGGGGTAATGTAAATATCGCAATGCAGTTGCATGTAATACCATGTATGCATGTGTAGGCATGCACATGCTTGTACCGCTTTATGTACAGCAGAAGAGAGATGACATGGCGCACTGCTGATAGAGAACTAAAAACAATCGGTTCAGCACAATGCGTGACTGAAAATATGTCTACATTCATCTTTGATTCGGTTGCATGTGGGCACATAAGAAAATACTATTGTCAGAGATCATAAGTTGGGAAATTGACTAAACAACAAAAAGCTCTTTATTGGATATGTGTGGCCATTGTGCCTAGTTCTGGATTTCCGCTTGACTGTCCCTCTTAGTACAAATACTCTTAAACTAAACTTCTTCCCTTTCGTAACAATATCTGGATACAGTACTTTCCACTATTCTCCACTGATCCTGGTCTACAAATATTTCATTCATTCTGTTATTATAATTATTTTGCTTCTGTTGTTTTCTTCCAACAGCTGCTACAATTCCTTCAGGAACCCAGCGGCCAAACACTCAGCCATTGCCAGGTCAAACTGTAGTAACTCTGCAACCAACAAATGGTGCTAATGATACCACAGCAACAGACATGCCATCATCTACTGAGGTGCAAACAAACCCGTCTGGTTGGGTAAACAACAACACCAACACCACCCAAGGTCAACATGGACACCCAGGCCAAGATGGTACAGGTAATGCTACTTTCTGTAGTCGTTCATGTAAACTTCCATTACATCATCATCTGTTTAGTCCCCAAGGTGATTTCAAGTAATGCAATGCGGATATACAGCTTGTTCAAGGATGTTCTCCTCTAGCGAACCTGCACACTCATGTCACACCCTCAGCACACACAGACACACGCGCACACACACACTCAGACTCAGACTCAGACATGCCCATCGCGGAAGTGATGATAGTGAACAGCTATGTTAGACATAGAAATTTTTGCTGGGATTACACCATTCAACAGCTTGCAAGGCAGATGAATTGACCACCACTAATTTTAGCCTGGTATCCACCAAGGTTCAACTCAAAGGTTCAAAACTACAAGTTACGTTATAATGTCCACTAACATCCCTCACCTTCCAAGTTGGAAGGCTGTTGTAGTGCGCATCCAAGATGTACTAGAGCTTTTAACCAGTTAGTTGTAGAACGGCAGAACGGCAGCGGTTGTTCGGTGCAATTCCGATTCCGGTCGCGGAATGAAGGGAGCAGAATCGATCCTGGCGATTCCTAAGAAAAATTGGAATGAGGTCTCATTCCGAGCGGAATGAAAATGCGCGGAGGGGCTTCGTCGCTGCTGCATACCTCCCCAACAAAACTTCAAACGCGATTATCGATATACAGAAATATTGGCGGACATCGTCCAATGTATACATGGTATACATGGTATAGGCTGGCACCGTAACCTCGGCATAGTAACTATTACTTGTTCGTGGTATTTTGACCCTTCGCTGCCTGAGAAAGTGTTCGCCCGGGATTGTTGATGAACTGGAAATATGCCCTCGCACCTCAGATCTTCATCGTCGTCGAGCAGGGCCTCTACTAGAACCACAGAAAAAGCGTAAAAATAAGAAGAGGAGCCAGTCAGTGCCGCATACTATGCCAGGTATGAAACGACTCAGCTACCAACATCAATTCGAATGCCTCTCCGAAATATCTGGACACCTGGTAACGGCTAAAAAAATTGTTAAAAAATCTAAAAAGACCAAGGCGCTGAAGGAGCTCAAGAACGCAAGCGAAGTCCTGCAGAATAGGTTGGACTGGCTAGCAGTGGCGGACCGCCATGGCCATGACACCGCCACAGCGTTCACGGAAGGGGACGGCATGGCTGGCCTCTTGGCCAGCGCAGACAAACGGAAACGTCTCCGCCTAGCCATCGAGGCCACGAAGCAGGGAAAGGATGGCTCGAAGCCAAAGAAGCCCCAGCAGCAGCCCTTTCGGGCCAGCACTCCCGCACCAGCCGGCAACTGGAGTGCCGCACCAGCCCGGGCTGCCCCAGCGCAACGGTTGCCAGCCGAGCCAGCCAGGCCCACAACCCGGCAGTCTACGGCTGTGTGCCACCACTGCGGAGAGACGGGCCACTACGTTCGGTATTGCCCGAAACTCAGTAAAAGCTAAGTTTGCATTGTAGCTCATTGTGTTCTGCATTGATCCTCAAGTTTGGGTCAGATTGCCTTACACTATTTCTAACAGTTGCTACACTGCCCCCCCCCCCCCCCCTCTCTCTCTTTTAGTCCAACTCCTGTACGTGCATTCGGCTGCAAGCTGCAAGCTGCAGGATGCAAGAGTTTTTTGGTTGTTTTGTTTTCCCGGCTTTTTCTCCTTCTTCTTTTTTTTTGAAGGAAGGGGTAATGTAAATATCGCAATGCAGTTGCATGTAATACCATGTATGCATGTGTAGGCATGCACATGCTTGTACCGCTTTATGTACAGCAGAAGAGAGATGACATGGCGCACTGCTGATAGAGAACTAAAAACAATCGGTTCAGCACAATGCGTGACTGAAAATATGTCTACATTCATCTTTGATTCGGTTGCATGTGGGCACATAAGAAAATACTATTGTCAGAGATCATAAGTTGGGAAATTGACTAAACAACAAAAAGCTCTTTATTGGATATGTGTGGCCATTGTGCCTAGTTCTGGATTTCCGCTTGACTGTCCCTCTTAGTACAAATACTCTTTGTTGTGTCGGACCTCACAGACACACAAACAGTTCATAGAGTAGTGACGGACAAAAGACCATGTTGTTATGACGCATGCTCAGTATGATAGAGAAAAGAGGAGTCATCATATTATGAAGTATGACGTATACATAGCAATCCTCCCCCACAAAGCGGAGGTATATGGAGCAACACAGCAAGCAGAAATATGTACAAAGGCATGCAATCAATATTTGCTGACACTGGGACAGTGCTCATAACAGAATGCATTATAGAAAATAAATTATGCGGACAAACATGCACATGTGCCCAGAGCACTGTCTAGATTAATGTAATTGTCATGCACAGCGAATAGACTATGCAGAGACCGGTACAAGGAAATACATGCACATGCGAATAGAATGATCTCAAAAGTCCAGAATCAGTATTCACAAACCAGGCCATAATCCACATTACAAAAAGTGTTCGGTATCAGTCACGACTGGTCAGCACATGTACTGTACACTTAGCCATTACGATAACGCAACGGTTTACCAACATTTCGACGGGGCTGTGTACGCTCAGGCTGTTTCGGCAAACTATGAGGAGCCGGCGCAGCCGACAGATCGGGCGTTATAGGTGCCTGAGTAGAAGGTGCTGTTGACTGAGCCGGTGTTTCATCCGGCGGCGTAGATGTCACAGCTGGTGGTACCGACATAGGCGGAGTCGGCACAGACGATGAATCCACCACTTCAGCTGGAGGTTGCAGACTGGGAATCATTGCACCCGGGATGGAACGAGGCCGTAATTGATTCCGATGGCGTTTCCACACCACTTCGTCAACCTGAATACGGTAATTCATGGGGCTGACAATACTGAGAACGACGCCTGGTACCCACTTCGACCCATAATTGCTGAAATTCAGTGCATAGACAGCATCACCAACACTATACTCGGGAGTATTCGAGCAATTCTGTTGAAATGAACGCACTTGCTGATCCAAAGCGGCTGCAGTAGTCGGATGTAGTAGATCGTACCTTGTTCGTGGCTGACGATTCATTAGTAGAGTTGCAGGTGACTTGCCACTCACCGTAGGTGTAGTGCGATGAGTGAGTAAGAACCGGTACAAGGCAGAGGACAAATCAGTCTCTGATGTCAGGAGCTTGACTTTAGATTTGAAATGTCCCACATAGCGTTCGGCCAAACCGTTAGTGGCAGGATGCCCAGGTGCCGTTAGCGTATGCACGATGCCATTACTGGATAAGAATGACTTGAATTCTGCGCTCGTGAATTGGCTGCCATTATCTGTGACCACATGCTCCGGCAAGCCAAAAATAGCAAAATTAGAACGTAACATTGTAATTACACCCTGAGTAGTTGCAGATTTCATTGGTACGACATCAATATATTTGGAATACGAGTCCACCAATACAAGGAACATAGTACCCAGAAATGGACCCGCAAAATCCAAGTGTAGACGTTTCCATGGCCCAGCTGGCCAGGACCAAGAACCGTGGTCCTTTGCTGGCTTCTTGGCATTCTCCTGGCAAAGCCTGCATAATTTCACGGTATTCTCAATGTGACTATCCAGACCAGGCCACCATACATATTGCCTAGCCATTCTCTTCATACGCACAATTCCGGTGTGCTCTGAGTGTAAATCCTGCAATAGAAGGTGTTGTAAGGAATTCGGAATAACCACACGAGAATCCCATATCAGTACACCATTTTGTACAGTAAGCTCAAATCGCCGTGAGTAGTAAGGTTGCAATTTGGTATCAACATTAACAGGCCACCCAAATTTTACGTATTGCATAACCTGAGTAAGAGTAGGATCCTTTCTAGTTTCCGTAGCTACTGTATCTGCAGTGAGAATATTCTCCGTTTCAAAGTGTAGGATTTCCTCCGTAACACTCTCCTCAACTGATGGTACATTCATGGTTGGTTTACGTGACAAGTAATCAGCGAAAATGTTCTCTTTTCCCTTGACAAATTCAAGCCGGTAATCGTAAGCGGATAACACCAAACGCCATTTCTTTAAACGGGTTGATGTAAGCGTAGGCACTGCATTGTGTGGATCAAATAGTGAGAGCAACGGCTTATGATCCGTTCTGAGTGTGAACGATTTGCCCAATAGGTATTGTCGAAACTTATTCGCACCAAAAACCAAAGCAAGAGCCTCACGTTCGATTTGTGAGTAATTCTTTTCCGGAGCGGTAAGAACCCGGGAAGCATAGGCTACAGGACGCAAGAAACCATCCTCATCCTCTTGTAGCAACACAGCGCCCAGTCCGAAACCTGAGGCATCGACTTGTAAAACCACATTCTTGGTCATGGAGAAATGACTGAGCATTGCATCGGTACTCATAGCATTGCGTATCTGTTCAAATGCCTGTTGTTCTGTGGGACCCCAGTTCCATTTAGTATCCCGTTTTAACAGAGTATAGAGTGGTGCCATTTGCTCAGCAAAATGTGGAATAAATCGCCGTAGATAGTTAGCAGACCCAATGAAAGATTGCAATTCCGCTACGTCTTTGGGTGGTTTCGCGCTTTTCAATGCATCGATCCGTTCATCTGTAGGTTGTACACCACGCGCTGATATTTTGTGACCCAAGTAGACCACAACATCCGACATGAATTCAATTTTGCTGTGTTTCAATTTCATGCCAGCGTCCTCAAGTCGTTGTAAGACTCGCCGCAAATTCTGTGCGTGTTCCTCATCCGTCTTCCCAGTGACAAGGATGTCATCGATATACACGACGCAACCCGGAAGACCCGCTAGTAAATTTTCCATGGTTCGTTGGAAAATTGAAACTGCTGAATTTACTCCGAACGGTAATCTAGTAAATTCGTACAAACCACGGTGTGTGTTGATAGTAGTATAGACTCGGGATTCTGGTGATAGCTCTAGCTGATGGTATGCTTGGGAGAGATCCAGTTTAGTGAACCTTTCACCCCCACATAGCTTGGTAAGCATTTCGTCTAGTGTTGGCAATGGGTGGTGATCCATTTTGGAGCATTTGTTGATGGTAACGGAGTAATCACCACATACCCGGATGGAGCCATCAGGTTTTCTCACAGGTACTGTAGGAGCTGCCCAGTCTGAGTGTGTAACTTTCTGAATAACACCGTCCCGTTCGAGCTTGTCAAGAGAAGCCTCATACTGTTCCCGAATATGAAAAGGTACCGAACGAGGTTTGCAAAACCTTGGCTTCCCATCATCCACATGCAAGTGTATCTGAACGCCATTCATTTTTCCCAATGTCGAGTGATCGAATAGTGCAGGGAACTCTTTCTGAAATTGGTCAGTACCCAGGGTACGATGGACCTTCTCGGCCAACATTTGTTTCCAGGGAAGAGTGAACACGTTAAGTAAATCACGACCCAGTAAGGAGGGACCCTCAGTTGCAACAACGCGTACAGTAACAGATTCAGTTTTCCCGTTAATCGTGACAGGTACTGGAAATTCCCCAATGCATTTAATTTCGGCACCAGAAAATCCTCTGAGAATGACTGTAGATTTCTGCAATGTATTCAAATCGCCATTGCACTGTTGAAAATCTTTCTCTGTGAGTATCGTTACACCACTGCCTGTGTCGACCTCCATTTCTACAGTCACACCATTAATTTCCACAGGTACGTACAGAGGTGCATTCGATTTAGTAGTACTAGTAGCATTCACACATTCAGTATATACATGGTACATAGGAACGCTCTCACCATCATCAGAACTGATCGTCTCCTGGAGTTGATGACAATCTTGCTGGCGTTTCTTGGACAGACACACCCGCTCCAGATGGCCAGTCTTGTGGCAGTGTCGGCAGCGAGTGTCTTTGTGCTGACACGCAGTGGCCAAATGGCTGGCGGCACCACAACGATAACATGCCTTAGACTTAGTAGTGGGTGTTTTGGACTTGGACTTTGACTGAAATTTGTGCTTGTCCGACGAGTGCCTCGTCCGCAACTCGTGCACTCCGTCATCTTGGACTTGGTCCCTGGCGCTCCCACTGGCCTGTAGAGTACGAGCAAACAGACCTGCCGTCTCTTCCGTCAACGCCAGTTGAAATACGTTCTGAAATGACTTTACGTCGTCGTCCGGCTTTGACAAAATAAATTTGCGCGTGTCTAGATCGCGCAGCCCAGCCACAAACTGATCACAAAGAGCTCTGTCCAAATGATCGCCGAACTTGCACTCTACAGCACAGCGCTGGAGTTTATGAGAATAATCAGTAACACTCTCCGAGGGCCCTTGAACACATTGACGGAACTTGTGTGTCGCCGTCGTCCGTGAGGTTTTCACCTTGTAATGTACTTTCAGCTTGTCAACGATCTCGGAGTACTTGAAATCCGTCGGGTTTTTTGGCAAGCACAGGGTCTTCAACGTCGAGTAAACAGTCTTCGACAGTAGAGAAATAAGGTAAGCCGTCATGCGCTTGTCAGCTTTCACCTTATCCGCGTTTGACGCACTGGACGCCAATTGTCCAATTTCATTGGCAATGAAAAAAAAATTTAGTCTTTCCTGGTATTCCTCAAAGTCTCCGCCGTCGAACGGCTCTATCGTGGCCTTTGCCATGATGCAGAAATAGCACAGCTACAGGTAAGTAGCTAAATACACAGTAAGGTAAAACGACCAAAACAAATTCATCCCATCTTCGTCGCCATTGTTGTGTCGGACCTCACAGACACACAAACAGTTCATAGAGTAGTGACGGACAAAAGACCATGTTGTTATGACGCATGCTCAGTATGATAGAGAAAAGAGGAGTCATCATATTATGAAGTATGACGTATACATAGCACTCTTAAACTAAACTTCTTCCCTTTCGTAACAATATCTGGATACAGTACTTTCCACTATTCTCCACTGATCCTGGTCTACAAATATTTCATTCATTCTGTTATTATAATTATTTTGCTTCTGTTGTTTTCTTCCAACAGCTGCTACAATTCCTTCAGGAACCCAGCGGCCAAACACTCAGCCATTGCCAGGTCAAACTGTAGTAACTCTGCAACCAACAAATGGTGCTAATGATACCACAGCAACAGACATGCCATCATCTACTGAGGTGCAAACAAACCCGTCTGGTTGGGTAAACAACAACACCAACACCACCCAAGGTCAACATGGACACCCAGGCCAAGATGGTACAGGTAATGCTACTTTCTGTAGTCGTTCATGTAAACTTCCATTACATCATCATCTGTTTAGTCCCCAAGGTGATTTCAAGTAATGCAATGCGGATATACAGCTTGTTCAAGGATGTTCTCCTCTAGCGAACCTGCACACTCATGTCACACCCTCAGCACACACAGACACACGCGCACACACACACTCAGACTCAGACTCAGACATGCCCATCGCGGAAGTGATGATAGTGAACAGCTATGTTAGACATAGAAATTTGTGCTGGGATTACACCATTCAACAGCTTGCAAGGCAGATGAATTGACCACCACTAATTTTAGCCTGGTATCCACCAAGGTTCAACTCAAAGGTTCAAAACTACAAGTTACGTTATAATGTCCACTAACATCCCTCACCTTCCAAGTTGGAAGGCTGTTGTAGTGCGCATCCAAGATGTACTAGAGCTTTTAACCAGTTAGTTGTAGAACGGCAGAACGGCAGCGGTTGTTCGGTGCAATTCCGATTCCGGTCGCGGAATGAAGGGAGCAGAATCGATCCTGGCGATTCCTAAGAAAAATTGGAATGAGGTCTCATTCCGAGCGGAATGAAAATGCGCGGAGGGGCTTCGTCGCTGCTGCATACCTCCCCAACAAAACTTCAAACGCGATTATCGATATACAGAAATATTGGCGGACATCGTCCAATGTATACATGGTATACATGGTATAGGCTGGCACCGTAACCTCGGCATAGTAACTATTACTTGTTCGTGGTATTTTGACCCTTCGCTGCCTGAGAAAGTGTTCGCCCGGGATTGTTGATGAACTGGAAATATGCCCTCGCACCTCAGATCTTCATCGTCGTCGAGCAGGGCCTCTACTAGAACCACAGAAAAAGCGTAAAAATAAGAAGAGGAGCCAGTCAGTGCCGCATACTATGCCAGGTATGAAACGACTCAGCTACCAACATCAATTCGAATGCCTCTCCGAAATATCTGGACACCTGGTAACGGCTAAAAAAATTGTTAAAAAATCTAAAAAGACCAAGGCGCTGAAGGAGCTCAAGAACGCAAGCGAAGTCCTGCAGAATAGGTTGGACTGGCTAGCAGTGGCGGACCGCCATGGCCATGACACCGCCACAGCGTTCACGGAAGGGGACGGCATGGCTGGCCTCTTGGCCAGCGCAGACAAACGGAAACGTCTCCGCCTAGCCATCGAGGCCACGAAGCAGGGAAAGGATGGCTCGAAGCCAAAGAAGCCCCAGCAGCAGCCCTTTCGGGCCAGCACTCCCGCACCAGCCGGCAACTGGAGTGCCGCACCAGCCCGGGCTGCCCCAGCGCAACGGTTGCCAGCCGAGCCAGCCAGGCCCACAACCCGGCAGTCTACGGCTGTGTGCCACCACTGCGGAGAGACGGGCCACTACGTTCGGTATTGCCCGAAACTCAGTAAAAGCTAAGTTTGCATTGTAGCTCATTGTGTTCTGCATTGATCCTCAAGTTTGGGTCAGATTGCCTTACACTATTTCTAACAGTTGCTACACTGCCCCCCCCCCCCCTCTCTCTTTTAGTCCAACTCCTGTACGTGCATTCGGCTGCAAGCTGCAAGCTGCAGGATGCAAGAGTTTTTTGGTTGTTTTGTTTTCCCGGCTTTTTCTCCTTCTTCTTTTTTTTTGAAGGAAGGGGTAATGTAAATATCGCAATGCAGTTGCATGTAATACCATGTATGCATGTGTAGGCATGCACATGCTTGTACCGCTTTATGTACAGCAGAAGAGAGATGACATGGCGCACTGCTGATAGAGAACTAAAAACAATCGGTTCAGCACAATGCGTGACTGAAAATATGTCTACATTCATCTTTGATTCGGTTGCATGTGGGCACATAAGAAAATACTATTGTCAGAGATCATAAGTTGGGAAATTGACTAAACAACAAAAAGCTCTTTATTGGATATGTGTGGCCATTGTGCCTAGTTCTGGATTTCCGCTTGACTGTCCCTCTTAGTACAAATACTCTTAAACTAAACTTCTTCCCTTTCGTAACAATATCTGGATACAGTACTTTCCACTATTCTCCACTGATCCTGGTCTACAAATATTTCATTCATTCTGTTATTATAATTATTTTGCTTCTGTTGTTTTCTTCCAACAGCTGCTACAATTCCTTCAGGAACCCAGCGGCCAAACACTCAGCCATTGCCAGGTCAAACTGTAGTAACTCTGCAACCAACAAATGGTGCTAATGATACCACAGCAACAGACATGCCATCATCTACTGAGGTGCAAACAAACCCGTCTGGTTGGGTAAACAACAACACCAACACCACCCAAGGTCAACATGGACACCCAGGCCAAGATGGTACAGGTAATGCTACTTTCTGTAGTCGTTCATGTAAACTTCCATTACATCATCATCTGTTTAGTCCCCAAGGTGATTTCAAGTAATGCAATGCGGATATACAGCTTGTTCAAGGATGTTCTCCTCTAGCGAACCTGCACACTCATGTCACACCCTCAGCACACACAGACACACGCGCACACACACACTCAGACTCAGACTCAGACATGCCCATCGCGGAAGTGATGATAGTGAACAGCTATGTTAGACATAGAAATTTGTGCTGGGATTACACCATTCAACAGCTTGCAAGGCAGATGAATTGACCACCACTAATTTTAGCCTGGTATCCACCAAGGTTCAACTCAAAGGTTCAAAACTACAAGTTACGTTATAATGTCCACTAACATCCCTCACCTTCCAAGTTGGAAGGCTGTTGTAGTGCGCATCCAAGATGTACTAGAGCTTTTAACCAGTTAGTTGTAGAACGGCAGAACGGCAGCGGTTGTTCGGTGCAATTCCGATTCCGGTCGCGGAATGAAGGGAGCAGAATCGATCCTGGCGATTCCTAAGAAAAATTGGAATGAGGTCTCATTCCGAGCGGAATGAAAATGCGCGGAGGGGCTTCGTCGCTGCTGCATACCTCCCCAACAAAACTTCAAACGCGATTATCGATATACAGAAATATTGGCGGACATCGTCCAATGTATACATGGTATACATGGTATAGGCTGGCACCGTAACCTCGGCATAGTAACTATTACTTGTTCGTGGTATTTTGACCCTTCGCTGCCTGAGAAAGTGTTCGCCCGGGATTGTTGATGAACTGGAAATATGCCCTCGCACCTCAGATCTTCATCGTCGTCGAGCAGGGCCTCTCCTAGAACCACAGAAAAAGCGTAAAAATAAGAAGAGGAGCCAGTCAGTGCCGCATACTATGCCAGGTATGAAACGACTCAGCTACCAACATCAATTCGAATGCCTCTCCGAAATATCTGGACACCTGGTAACGGCTAAAAAAATTGTTAAAAAATCTAAAAAGACCAAGGCGCTGAAGGAGCTCAAGAACGCAAGCGAAGTCCTGCAGAATAGGTTGGACTGGCTAGCAGTGGCGGACCGCCATGGCCATGACACCGCCACAGCGTTCACGGAAGGGGACGGCATGGCTGGCCTCTTGGCCAGCGCAGACAAACGGAAACGTCTCCGCCTAGCCATCGAGGCCACGAAGCAGGGAAAGGATGGCTCGAAGCCAAAGAAGCCCCAGCAGCAGCCCTTTCGGGCCAGCACTCCCGCACCAGCCGGCAACTGGAGTGCCGCACCAGCCCGGGCTGCCCCAGCGCAACGGTTGCCAGCCGAGCCAGCCAGGCCCACAACCCGGCAGTCTACGGCTGTGTGCCACCACTGCGGAGAGACGGGCCACTACGTTCGGTATTGCCCGAAACTCAGTAAAAGCTAAGTTTGCATTGTAGCTCATTGTGTTCTGCATTGATCCTCAAGTTTGGGTCAGATTGCCTTACACTATTTCTAACAGTTGCTACACTGCCCCCCCCCCCCCCCCTCTCTCTTTTAGTCCAACTCCTGTACGTGCATTCGGCTGCAAGCTGCAAGCTGCAGGATGCAAGAGTTTTTTGGTTGTTTTGTTTTCCCGGCTTTTTCTCCTTCTTCTTTTTTTTTGAAGGAAGGGGTAATGTAAATATCGCAATGCAGTTGCATGTAATACCATGTATGCATGTGTAGGCATGCACATGCTTGTACCGCTTTATGTACAGCAGAAGAGAGATGACATGGCGCACTGCTGATAGAGAACTAAAAACAATCGGTTCAGCACAATGCGTGACTGAAAATATGTCTACATTCATCTTTGATTCGGTTGCATGTGGGCACATAAGAAAATACTATTGTCAGAGATCATAAGTTGGGAAATTGACTAAACAACAAAAAGCTCTTTATTGGATATGTGTGGCCATTGTGCCTAGTTCTGGATTTCCGCTTGACTGTCCCTCTTAGTACAAATACTCTTAAACTAAACTTCTTCCCTTTCGTAACAATATCTGGATACAGTACTTTCCACTATTCTCCACTGATCCTGGTCTACAAATATTTCATTCATTCTGTTATTATAATTATTTTGCTTCTGTTGTTTTCTTCCAACAGCTGCTACAATTCCTTCAGGAACCCAGCGGCCAAACACTCAGCCATTGCCAGGTCAAACTGTAGTAACTCTGCAACCAACAAATGGTGCTAATGATACCACAGCAACAGACATGCCATCATCTACTGAGGTGCAAACAAACCCGTCTGGTTGGGTAAACAACAACACCAACACCACCCAAGGTCAACATGGACACCCAGGCCAAGATGGTACAGGTAATGCTACTTTCTGTAGTCGTTCATGTAAACTTCCATTACATCATCATCTGTTTAGTCCCCAAGGTGATTTCAAGTAATGCAATGCGGATATACAGCTTGTTCAAGGATGTTCTCCTCTAGCGAACCTGCACACTCATGTCACACCCTCAGCACACACAGACACACGCGCACACACACACTCAGACTCAGACTCAGACATGCCCATCGCGGAAGTGATGATAGTGAACAGCTATGTTAGACATAGAAATTTTTGCTGGGATTACACCATTCAACAGCTTGCAAGGCAGATGAATTGACCACCACTAATTTTAGCCTGGTATCCACCAAGGTTCAACTCAAAGGTTCAAAACTACAAGTTACGTTATAATGTCCACTAACATCCCTCACCTTCCAAGTTGGAAGGCTGTTGTAGTGCGCATCCAAGATGTACTAGAGCTTTTAACCAGTTAGTTGTAGAACGGCAGAACGGCAGCGGTTGTTCGGTGCAATTCCGATTCCGGTCGCGGAATGAAGGGAGCAGAATCGATCCTGGCGATTCCTAAGAAAAATTGGAATGAGGTCTCATTCCGAGCGGAATGAAAATGCGCGGAGGGGCTTCGTCGCTGCTGCATACCTCCCCAACAAAACTTCAAACGCGATTATCGATATACAGAAATATTGGCGGACATCGTCCAATGTATACATGGTATACATGGTATAGGCTGGCACCGTAACCTCGGCATAGTAACTATTACTTGTTCGTGGTATTTTGACCCTTCGCTGCCTGAGAAAGTGTTCGCCCGGGATTGTTGATGAACTGGAAATATGCCCTCGCACCTCAGATCTTCATCGTCGTCGAGCAGGGCCTCTACTAGAACCACAGAAAAAGCGTAAAAATAAGAAGAGGAGCCAGTCAGTGCCGCATACTATGCCAGGTATGAAACGACTCAGCTACCAACATCAATTCGAATGCCTCTCCGAAATATCTGGACACCTGGTAACGGCTAAAAAAATTGTTAAAAAATCTAAAAAGACCAAGGCGCTGAAGGAGCTCAAGAACGCAAGCGAAGTCCTGCAGAATAGGTTGGACTGGCTAGCAGTGGCGGACCGCCATGGCCATGACACCGCCACAGCGTTCACGGAAGGGGACGGCATGGCTGGCCTCTTGGCCAGCGCAGACAAACGGAAACGTCTCCGCCTAGCCATCGAGGCCACGAAGCAGGGAAAGGATGGCTCGAAGCCAAAGAAGCCCCAGCAGCAGCCCTTTCGGGCCAGCACTCCCGCACCAGCCGGCAACTGGAGTGCCGCACCAGCCCGGGCTGCCCCAGCGCAACGGTTGCCAGCCGAGCCAGCCAGGCCCACAACCCGGCAGTCTACGGCTGTGTGCCACCACTGCGGAGAGACGGGCCACTACGTTCGGTATTGCCCGAAACTCAGTAAAAGCTAAGTTTGCATTGTAGCTCATTGTGTTCTGCATTGATCCTCAAGATTGGGTCAGATTGCCTTACACTATTTCTAACAGTTGCTACACTGCCCCCCCCCCCCCTCTCTCTTTTAGTCCAACTCCTGTACGTGCATTCGGCTGCAAGCTGCAAGCTGCAGGATGCAAGAGTTTTTTGGTTGTTTTGTTTCCCCGGCTTTTTCTCCTTCTTCTTTTTTTTTGAAGGAAGGGGTAATGTAAATATCGCAATGCAGTTGCATGTAATACCATGTATGCATGTGTAGGCATGCACATGCTTGTACCGCTTTATGTACAGCAGAAGAGAGATGACATGGCGCACTGCTGATAGAGAACTAAAAACAATCGGTTCAGCACAATGCGTGACTGAAAATATGTCTACATTCATCTTTGATTCGGTTGCATGTGGGCACATAAGAAAATACTATTGTCAGAGATCATAAGTTGGGAAATTGACTAAACAACAAAAAGCTCTTTATTGGATATGTGTGGCCATTGTGCCTAGTTCTGGATTTCCGCTTGACTGTCCCTCTTAGTACAAATACTCTTAAACTAAACTTCTTCCCTTTCGTAACAATATCTGGATACAGTACTTTCCACTATTCTCCACTGATCCTGGTCTACAAATATTTCATTCATTCTGTTATTATAATTATTTTGCTTCTGTTGTTTTCTTCCAACAGCTGCTACAATTCCTTCAGGAACCCAGCGGCCAAACACTCAGCCATTGCCAGGTCAAACTGTAGTAACTCTGCAACCAACAAATGGTGCTAATGATACCACAGCAACAGACATGCCATCATCTACTGAGGTGCAAACAAACCCGTCTGGTTGGGTAAACAACAACACCAACACCACCCAAGGTCAACATGGACACCCAGGCCAAGATGGTACAGGTAATGCTACTTTCTGTAGTCTTTCATGTAAACTTCCATTACATCATCATCTGTTTAGTCCCCAAGGTGATTTCAAGTAATGCAATGCGGATATACAGCTTGTTCAAGGATGTTCTCCTCTAGCGAACCTGCACACTCATGTCACACCCTCAGCACACACAGACACACGCGCACACACACACTCAGACTCAGACTCAGACATGCCCATCGCGGAAGTGATGATAGTGAACAGCTATGTTAGACATAGAAATTTGTGCTGGGATTACACCATTCAACAGCTTGCAAGGCAGATGAATTGACCACCACTAATTTTAGCCTGGTATCCACCAATGTTCAACTCAAAGGTTCAAAACTACAAGTTACGTTATAATGTCCACTAACATCCCCCACCTTCCAAGTTGGAAGGCTGTTGTAGTGCGCATCCAAGATGTACTAGAGCTTTTAACCAGTTAGTTGTAGAACGGCAGAACGGCAGCGGTTGTTCGGTGCAATTCCGATTCCGGTCGCGGAATGAAGGGAGCAGAATCGATCCTGGCGATTCCTAAGAAAAATTGGAATGAGGTCTCATTCCGAGCGGAATGAAAATGCGCGGAGGGGCTTCGTCGCTGCTGCATACCTCCCCAACAAAACTTCAAACGCGATTATCGATATACAGAAATATTGGCGGACATCGTCCAATGTATACATGGTATACATGGTATAGGCTGGCACCGTAACCTCGGCATAGTAACTATTACTTGTTCGTGGTATTTTGACCCTTCGCTGCCTGAGAAAGTGTTCGCCCGGGATTGTTGATGAACTGGAAATATGCCCTCGCACCTCAGATCTTCATCGTCGTCGAGCAGGGCCTCTACTAGAACCACAGAAAAAGCGTAAAAATAAGAAGAGGAGCCAGTCAGTGCCGCATACTATGCCAGGTATGAAACGACTCAGCTACCAACATCAATTCGAATGCCTCTCCGAAATATCTGGACACCTGGTAACGGCTAAAAAAATTGTTAAAAAATCTAAAAAGACCAAGGCGCTGAAGGAGCTCAAGAACGCAAGCGAAGTCCTGCAGAATAGGTTGGACTGGCTAGCAGTGGCGGACCGCCATGGCCATGACACCGCCACAGCGTTCACGGAAGGGGACGGCATGGCTGGCCTCTTGGCCAGCGCAGACAAACGGAAACGTCTCCGCCTAGCCATCGAGGCCACGAAGCAGGGAAAGGATGGCTCGAAGCCAAAGAAGCCCCAGCAGCAGCCCTTTCGGGCCAGCACTCCCGCACCAGCCGGCAACTGGAGTGCCGCACCAGCCCGGGTTGCCCCAGCGCAACGGTTGCCAGCCGAGCCAGCCAGGCCCACAACCCGGCAGTCTACGGCTGTGTGCCACCACTGCGGAGAGACGGGCCACTACGTTCGGTATTGCCCGAAACTCAGTAAAAGCTAAGTTTGCATTGTAGCTCATTGTGTTCTGCATTGATCCTCAAGTTTGGGTCAGATTGCCTTACACTATTTCTAACAGTTGCTACACTGCCCCCCCCCCCCTCTCTCTTTTAGTCCAACTCCTGTACGTGCATTCGGCTGCAAGCTGCAAGCTGCAGGATGCAAGAGTTTTTTGGTTGTTTTGTTTTCCCGGCTTTTTCTCCTTCTTCTTTTTTTTTGAAGGAAGGGGTAATGTAAATATCGCAATGCAGTTGCATGTAATACCATGTATGCATGTGTAGGCATGCACATGCTTGTACCGCTTTATGTACAGCAGAAGAGAGATGACATGGCGCACTGCTGATAGAGAACTAAAAACAATCGGTTCAGCACAATGCGTGACTGAAAATATGTCTACATTCATCTTTGATTCGGTTGCATGTGGGCACATAAGAAAATACTATTGTCAGAGATCATAAGTTGGGAAATTGACTAAACAACAAAAAGCTCTTTATTGGATATGTGTGGCCATTGTGCCTAGTTCTGGATTTCCGCTTGACTGTCCCTCTTAGTACAAATACTCTTAAACTAAACTTCTTCCCTTTCGTAACAATATCTGGATACAGTACTTTCCACTATTCTCCACTGATCCTGGTCTACAAATATTTCATTCATTCTGTTATTATAATTATTTTGCTTCTGTTGTTTTCTTCCAACAGCTGCTACAATTCCTTCAGGAACCCAGCGGCCAAACACTCAGCCATTGCCAGGTCAAACTGTAGTAACTCTGCAACCAACAAATGGTGCTAATGATACCACAGCAACAGACATGCCATCATCTACTGAGGTGCAAACAAACCCGTCTGGTTGGGTAAACAACAACACCAACACCACCCAAGGTCAACATGGACACCCAGGCCAAGATGGTACAGGTAATGCTACTTTCTGTAGTCGTTCATGTAAACTTCCATTACATCATCATCTGTTTAGTCCCCAAGGTGATTTCAAGTAATGCAATGCGGATATACAGCTTGTTCAAGGATGTTCTCCTCTAGCGAACCTGCACACTCATGTCACACCCTCAGCACACACAGACACACGCACACACACACACACTCAGACTCAGACTCAGACATGCCCATCGCGGAAGTGATGATAGTGAACAGCTATGTTAGACATAGAAATTTGTGCTGGGATTACACCATTCAACAGCTTGCAAGGCAGATGAATTGACCACCACTAATTTTAGCCTGGTATCCACCAAGGTTCAACTCAAAGGTTCAAAACTACAAGTTACGTTATAATGTCCACTAACATCCCTCACCTTCCAAGTTGGAAGGCTGTTGTAGTGCGCATCCAAGATGTACTAGAGCTTTTAACCAGTTAGTTGTAGAACGGCAGAACGGCAGCGGTTGTTCGGTGCAATTCCGATTCCGGTCGCGGAATGAAGGGAGCAGAATCGATCCTGGCGATTCCTAAGAAAAATTGGAATGAGGTCTCATTCCGAGCGGAATGAAAATGCGCGGAGGGGCTTCGTCGCTGCTGCATACCTCCCCAACAAAACTTCAAACGCGATTATCGATATACAGAAATATTGGCGGACATCGTCCAATGTATACATGGTATACATGGTATAGGCTGGCACCGTAACCTCGGCATAGTAACTATTACTTGTTCGTGGTATTTTGACCCTTCGCTGCCTGAGAAAGTGTTCGCCCGGGATTGTTGATGAACTGGAAATATGCCCTCGCACCTCAGATCTTCATCGTCGTCGAGCAGGGCCTCTACTAGAACCACAGAAAAAGCGTAAAAATAAGAAGAGGAGCCAGTCAGTGCCGCATACTATGCCAGGTATGAAACGACTCAGCTACCAACATCAATTCGAATGCCTCTCCGAAATATCTGGACACCTGGTAACGGCTAAAAAAATTGTTAAAAAATCTAAAAAGACCAAGGCGCTGAAGGAGCTCAAGAACGCAAGCGAAGTCCTGCAGAATAGGTTGGACTGGCTAGCAGTGGCGGACCGCCATGGCCATGACACCGCCACAGCGTTCACGGAAGGGGACGGCATGGCTGGCCTCTTGGCCAGCGCAGACAAACGGAAACGTCTCCGCCTAGCCATCGAGGCCACGAAGCAGGGAAAGGATGGCTCGAAGCCAAAGAAGCCCCAGCAGCAGCCCTTTCGGGCCAGCACTCCCGCACCAGCCGGCAACTGGAGTGCCGCACCAGCCCGGGCTGCCCCAGCGCAACGGTTGCCAGCCGAGCCAGCCAGGCCCACAACCCGGCAGTCTACGGCTGTGTGCCACCACTGCGGAGAGACGGGCCACTACGTTCGGTATTGCCCGAAACTCAGTAAAAGCTAAGTTTGCATTGTAGCTCATTGTGTTCTGCATTGATCCTCAAGTTTGGGTCAGATTGCCTTACACTATTTCTAACAGTTGCTACACTGCCCCCCCCCCCCCTCTCTCTTTTAGTCCAACTCCTGTACGTGCATTCGGCTGCAAGCTGCAAGCTGCAGGATGCAAGAGTTTTTTGGTTGTTTTGTTTTCCCGGCTTTTTCTCCTTCTTCTTTTTTTTTGAAGGAAGGGGTAATGTAAATATCGCAATGCAGTTGCATGTAATACCATGTATGCATGTGTAGGCATGCACATGCTTGTACCGCTTTATGTACAGCAGAAGAGAGATGATATGGCGCACTGCTGATAGAGAACTAAAAACAATCGGTTCAGCACAATGCGTGACTGAAAATATGTCTACATTCATCTTTGATTCGGTTGCATGTGGGCACATAAGAAAATACTATTGTCAGAGATCATAAGTTGGGAAATTGACTAAACAACAAAAAGCTCTTTATTGGATATGTGTGGCCATTGTGCCTAGTTCTGGATTTCCGCTTGACTGTCCCTCTTAGTACAAATACTCTTAAACTAAACTTCTTCCCTTTCGTAACAATATCTGGATACAGTACTTTCCACTATTCTCCACTGATCCTGGTCTACAAATATTTCATTCATTCTGTTATTATAATTATTTTGCTTCTGTTGTTTTCTTCCAACAGCTGCTACAATTCCTTCAGGAACCCAGCGGCCAAACACTCAGCCATTGCCAGGTCAAACTGTAGTAACTCTGCAACCAACAAATGGTGCTAATGATACCACAGCAACAGACATGCCATCATCTACTGAGGTGCAAACAAACCCGTCTGGTTGGGTAAACAACAACACCAACACCACCCAAGGTCAACATGGACACCCAGGCCAAGATGGTACAGGTAATGCTACTTTCTGTAGTCGTTCATGTAAACTTCCATTACATCATCATCTGTTTAGTCCCCAAGGTGATTTCAAGTAATGCAATGCGGATATACAGCTTGTTCAAGGATGTTCTCCTCTAGCGAACCTGCACACTCATGTCACACCCTCAGCACACACAGACACACGCGCACACACACACTCAGACTCAGACTCAGACATGCCCATCGCGGAAGTGATGATAGTGAACAGCTATGTTAGACATAGAAATTTGTGCTGGGATTACACCATTCAACAGCTTGCAAGGCAGATGAATTGACCACCACTAATTTTAGCCTGGTATCCACCAAGGTTCAACTCAAAGGTTCAAAACTACAAGTTACGTTATAATGTCCACTAACATCCCTCACCTTCCAAGTTGGAAGGCTGTTGTAGTGCGCATCCAAGATGTACTGGAACTTTTAACCAGTTAGTTGTAGAACGGCAGAACGACAGCGGTTGTTCGGTGCAATTCCGATTCCGGTCGCGGAATGAAGGGAGCAGAATCGATCCTGGCGATTCCTAAGAAAAATTGGAATGAGGTCTCATTCCGAGCGGAATGAAAATGCGCGGAGGGGCTTCGTCGATGCTGCATACCTCCCCAACAAAACTTCAAACGCGATTATCGATATACAGAAATATTGGCGGACATCGTCCAATGTATACATGGTATACATGGTATAGGCTGGCACCGTAACCTCGGCATAGTAACTATTACTTGTTCGTGGTATTTTGACCCTTCGCTGCCTGAGAAAGTGTTCGCCCGGGATTGTTGATGAACTGGAAATATGCCCTCGCACCTCAGATCTTCATCGTCGTCGAGCAGGGCCTCTACTAGAACCACAGAAAAAGCGTAAAAATAAGAAGAGGAGCCAGTCAGTGCCGCATACTATGCCAGGTATGAAACGACTCAGCTACCAACATCAATTCGAATGCCTCTCCGAAATATCTGGACACCTGGTAACGGCTAAAAAAATTGTTAAAAAATCTAAAAAGACCAAGGCGCTGAAGGAGCTCAAGAACGCAAGCGAAGTCCTGCAGAATAGGTTGGACTGGCTAGCAGTGGCGGACCGCCATGGCCATGACACCGCCACAGCGTTCACGGAAGGGGACGGCATGGCTGGCCTCTTGGCCAGCGCAGACAAACGGAAACGTCTCCGCCTAGCCATCGAGGCCACGAAGCAGGGAAAGGATGGCTCGAAGCCAAAGAAGCCCCAGCAGCAGCCCTTTCGGGCCAGCACTCCCGCACCAGCCGGCAACTGGAGTGCCGCACCAGCCCGGGCTGCCCCAGCGCAACGGTTGCCAGCCGAGCCAGCCAGGCCCACAACCCGGCAGTCTACGGCTGTGTGCCACCACTGCGGAGAGACGGGCCACTACGTTCGGTATTGCCCGAAACTCAGTAAAAGCTAAGTTTGCTTGTGTTGGTGTTGGTGTTGGTGTTGTTAATGGTGGTGACGATGATGTTGATGAGGATGATGGTGATCAGTGTTTGGAAGAAATGTGTTCAGAGTACATGGTTGCCCAGCTTGTGTGTGAGGAAGATATGGGAGGGGAAGGGCTGAATGACGTAATAGTGGGTGGTCTAGCGCAACACGTATCATTTTGGGAACGCATTGTTGCATCAGGAATGATTTTAGCAGTTATCAGAAATGGGTATGTGCTTCCATTTTCATCCCGTCCCTCCACCAAGATTTTACCAAACCATGAAAGTGCAATCCAACATGCAGGCTTTGTAGAAACAGAAGTGGTAAATATGCTACGTCTAGGTTGCGTAAGGGAAGCAAAGGAGCCAGTGGTATGTAGCCCCTTGGGCGTAGTGGACAACGGCAAAAAACTAAGATTGATCGTTGACCTTAGGTATGATAACAAGCACCTTGCATCTTTTAAGTTTAAGCTAGAAGATATCCGAACAGTGCTTGATGTGTACAGGAAGGGAGACTATGTAGTGACTTTTGACTTGAAAAGCGGTTATCACCACATTGAAATTGCGGAAGAGTACCGGAAGTATCTTGGCTTCCGATGTAAAGTGGACGGTAGAGTCTCTACATTTGAGTTTTGCGTGTTGCCATTTGGCCTTTCCACGGCGCCCTTTATTTTCACAAAGTTGACAAAGCCCTGGCTTGCGCATTGGAGACGGCAGGGTATCCGTTGTCAGTTGTACATGGACGATGGCACGGGGGGGGGGCATGAGTCATACCAAGGTGCATTGAAAGTGGCAGCCACAATGAAAGCTGACTTAATTCAAGCAGGTTTCACTCCTCACCCAACCAAATGCTGTTGGATACCCTCTCGTAAAGTCGAGGTGCTTGGCTTCGAGCTTGATTTTGAGCACGGAGAGATAACGGCTTCAAACAGGCGGGTACAGCTATTTCAAAAGAGGGTAGCAGAATTGCAGCGCAAAAGACCAGTTTCAGCACGAGCTGTAGCGAGCCTTGCTGGGACTTTGCTCTCTATGTCTGTAGCACTAGGGCCAATCTGCAGGCTCCGCACTAGAGGAATGTACCGGTTTATCGAAAGCAGAAGCACATGGAATGCATTGAAGTTTTTGCCAAGCGATGTTGCAGAAGAAATCCGATTTTGGGCAAACACATTTGCCAAGCTGCATGGCCAGCCGATGTGGAAATCCGAGCCAGTAAAGGCAGTACTGACCTGGTCCGACGCCAGTGA